TCGTTTCAACCAGACGGCCATTTGTAATCCGGGGGGGGGTGCAGAAAATGTTTGGAAACCACTGGGGGGGCGCAGAAGAAAAAGTTTGGGAACCACTGCTCTATGTAATCTGGTTGTTATCTGCTGGTGTGTCTTTAGATATTGAACTTGAGATTGTAATCACAAGAACAGTATGTCAAGAGGTCACTGCTAAAGAAACTGGCTGTGCAGTGTTCCATGTTAATGGATAGTTGAGTGGAAGGAAAAAGTCTACATGCAGCAAGGTTCTGAAGGAAAACCCAATATTTCATGTTTCTTTTTGAGCAGCTTTATAGAAATGCTGACTCAATTTTATAGTAGCACCTTGAACTGGTCCACACTGCTAATAATACCAATACCTGCTTCAGTCACCATGGCATCACTTAGTGCAGTTCATCTCATGTCAACAGGGACGCTACCACATTCATGAAATAAAATCCTTTATTTGCCAGAGGTTCAGAAAGTATTCATATTTTCTAAGCTTTAAGCCAGAGTGATCAAAATAAACCGGTTTAGAGTTCACCACTCTGTAATGATCCAGAATGTTTGTTTCAATTAAGTTGAACTAAGTTAAAATTTTTATGCGCCTTTAGTTTAGGTGTCTATTTGATGAGAATATCGCCTCCTGTTGGCAGGTTGTATAATCACATCCAGCTGTCCAGTAACCTGATGTCTGGCTGTGACTACTCTCTGTTTAAAGTAAGGCTCACCTCTTACACGTCAACACAAACATCTGATTCTCTGCACTGTGATTTGTTTTTGACTGTGGATTAAATTAAAGTATAAAGAATAATAAATGACCTTCAAGTATTTTACAGAGCTGGTTCCCTGTCTGATCTGTTCTGTATTTGACCACAGGACGGGATTGAACCCATGTGGGAAGACGAGCGGAACCGACGAGGTGGCCGCTGGCTGATAACTTTGTCCAAACAGCAACGGAAAAGCGATCTGGACCGGTTCTGGTTAGAGACGGTATGCTGAGCTCCACTAAAACCATATTTGGTTTTCTTTTAAGTTGGATTTGAGTCGTGTTGAATATGAATAAATATAATCTGGAACATCAACACCACTAATGTTTGAAGACAAAATTTTAATGATTTAACTTGACGAAACCCTTGTTTTATGCTTCGCACTGTGAAAACGTCAGATATTGGAGACGGTCTCCGGTAGAAACAGTTTAAATCTGTTTTGTCCTCCTGCAGCTCTTGTGTCTGGTGGGTGAAGCGTTTGACGACCATAGCGATGATGTTTGTGGCGCCGTCATTAATGTAAGAGCCAAAGGGGATAAAATCGCAATCTGGACGACAGACTTTGAAAACAAAGACGCCATCACCCACATAGGGTGAGCTGCACAAACCACCATCTTGTTTCACTTGGCCTTCAGGTTTTCAATATTTCCAGTGGTAGGAAAACTTCTGCTAATGTTATAATACTGCAACTCATTTTTTGTTTAGCATTTTTGCTAAGTTCTAAAATGTTGCCCTTTAATAAATTTGTTCATAAAAATTCCAAGGCGTTAATTTACTTGTAAACTTTCGGTTGAATAAAGTTTGACATTTGTGAAGATTTTATTCTCCAAGAATCCTTGAACTAGATGTTTATATTTATGCTCTTATTTTGAAGTGAGAAGAATTACAGAGCAGTTTCCTTTATACATGTTTGTTTTTTTTTCTGTCAAGAAACTTTGAGCAGGTTGTGAGTATGCAACAAAAAATGAATACAGAATATTGCAATACTTGAGTGAAGAAACAAGCAGGGTGTTAAACAAATGCAAAAATTGACAGAAATTGTTGAGCCTCATGTTCTCCACAGTGATGCCATGCAGGAAATGACATGTATTCTGTACCCAGAATGCATTGCTGTAGAGTACATCCTTTAGTTGTGCAGTTAACAGTTTAAATTTTGTTCTGTTTTTTTTTTTTTTTTCATGCTTCAATTCATTTCCTGATGCTTTTTGTTGCACTGCAGCAGTACAGCCATTTTAGAGTAATATCCAGAGATTTTCAGCACCAGCTCATATTTGGCTTCTTGTTTGTGCTTCTAGGCGAGTTTATAAGGAGAGGCTAGGCGTCCCACCAAAAGTGATCATTGGCTACCAGTCGCATGCTGATACAGCCACCAAGAGCGGTTCCACCACCAAGAACAAGTTTGTTGCCTGAGGACTCTGGATTTATTTACCACATGTTGTTTTCTGTCGTTTTTTTTTCCATGAATGTAACTGAGAAATGAATCCACAGGGTGAATGTTTTGCTTTTGACACCTGACCAAAGCTTTAGTTTGTGGAGAGAGAGTGCAATTCAAAAAGTACCACTTCTATGGACACTTTATTTTGTAGCAGTTTCTGTTGTATTATTTGAATTAAATGTTAAAGGGGAATGTAAGAAATACTTTGGTTATGAATTACAACTTTCTAACGATTGGAAACTTTGCTAAATTTGAGTTTAAGTTTGGCTCGGGTCCAATAAAAATCATTTATTTTACAATAGGAAAATGTTCAGTTTTGTAAAATTAAAGTGATAAAATGTGACTTTGTCATCACTGATGCATGTTGGGCAACTGATCTCTTTTTATTAGAACTCATCTATGTTACACAAGTGTTCATTTTAAGCTCCTCCTTCAGAAGCAAAATGCAGTTCAAATGGAGCTTGAAGTCAACTGCAAAAAATAGGATTTCTAACCAGAACCACAAAAAGAAACCAGAAGAGGAGTTTTCTTTTCTCTTCAGCTTCAAGTCACTCACAGTTAAGTTTTTATAATATTCTTCAGTTGTAGAGCACAGAGCTGCGGTTCCTTTATCTTGAAGCCTCACTGTTTGTGTAGATGGGAAAGGAGATGCTTTCAATGATACTCAGATTTAATCTGCAGTGAAAAGTAAAACGTTTGAGGTAAAATACATTTTTTGAAGCTAAAAGGTGCCTTTAGTGTTTAAACCCTGTTTGCATATTTTTATTTTACAACATATGTAAAAAGGACCAATGTAAATAAATTGTACAGTGATGTGTTCTCTCATAAACAATGGAAATAAATATATTAAGTGGTGTAAAATGTTTCTGGGAAATCTTTAAAAGTCTGTGGAATTGACCATATTTTTATTTATTTATGTTACTCATTGTAACATAAATGGACAGAGTCCATCCAGCAACTTTAACCAGATTTAAATCCAGTTTCTCCTGGACTTCCAGGCTATCTTGATGCAGTCGTCCTGCTTTTCGGTCTCTGCTTAAACCCACCAGAATCAGATCATTAGATGGTGCAGGACATTTAGCCATTTGATGTCTGTGGGACACCAACCCTCAGGGATTTGAGTTCGTCTCTCTGTGGACCAGTCATTCAGTTTCTGCTACAGAAAAACATCCCCACAGCATAATTCTCACATCACTGTGCTTTATTATACAGATATCATCTCAGGTTCAGGTTTTTTCTCAGGTTCAGGCCAGAAAGTTTTTTTTTTTTTGTTTGTTTGTTTATTCAGGTCATAAAATGTTTTTCCTCCTGTAAGCAGGTCGCCATGTTGTGCTGCTACTTCACCATGAAGGGCTGACTGATGTGGGGTTAGCCTGGGCGGTTCTGTCTGAACACAGGAGGTGAACTTCACTTTTTATTTTAAGTTTACGATTGATTAAAAAAAAGACTAAAATGTTTTAGAATAAGTGTGCAAAGCAACCGGTTTGAAGGAAATCTACTGTAAGACTTCCTGAGAATTTAATAGAGGATAAAACAAGTCAGAAATGAAAGCTTTCTTGTAGTTGCATGTTTAGGCCACTATGTGTCGCTGTTGAACTGCTTGAGGGAAGACCAAAACAGGACTGCAGGCTGTCATGTAAGGTTGCCCAACGTGTGGTCTGAGGGCCATTTGTGACCCTCTAGATTTTGTTTTGCAGGTTCAGACCACATTTCTAGAATGGAGCAAATCTGGCCTGCAATTAGGAAATTTTTGATGCATTTCTTATGTTTCAAGGTGTTTTAGAAAGTTTTCAAAAATAAAAAGTTCTGAAAATTAAAAGGCGTCTTCTACTCCACAGACGTTTCCTCATCTGTTAACCAGGATTCAAGTTTAAGTTCATTTTTAAAAATGGGACAAGATGAAATTAACATTTACATGAGATTATAGCCACATGGCTAATTTCTGTTTCTATTCCCACTGGCAGGTTGTTAAAGCAATAAAAAGTAAGGCCAAAAAAAAAAATACTACTAAAAAGATTCTGCATTTATTCTAATTTTATAGTAATAAGAAGCTCAAAAATCAGCATTTATTCAAAATCAGACCTCATTACCCTTCCCATTTTAAATATAGTGACCCAGGTTTTTCCTAAACAAAAGCATCATAGCCCCAAAAAGAACAATGACTGTTCAATGGCTCTGGAAAAGATGAGTGTTTTGTTGTTGACTTACTATTCACAAACCACTTCCTGTATTCTTGTTAATTGTGCAGGAGACTCCATTTCTGCTTTTCAAAGATGTAGAGTTGCATAATTGCACATCTGTTTGCAGCCATTTTCACAGGCAAGTGTAAAGTTGAGTTAGAGGGGTGAGTGGGCGTGGCCAACAGCAGCTCATATGGATTTAAAGAGACAAAGCCCTAAAACAGCTGAACATGTGCAGAACGGAGCAAACTGAAATCTCTAATAAACGTGTTTCTAAAGACCTATAGCCTGTTCAATGAAGTATAATAAGCCATCTTTAAATGACACTTAGTGGGGCTGTGACTACCAGTCAGGTGACCTCTGAAGGCAAGGTCAGGGTTGGATTTTATTTATGGCTAAGCAAAATACAGGAATCCATAATTAAACATCTGCAACCTATTTGGCTGAACTGTAACTCTTGTTTAAAGCTTTTTCTTAAATGATACTTGTGACGACGCTGTGATCACACCAGCGGTGAGATTCAGAATGAGATTTTGCAACTCCTTGATTTCCCCCTAGGAGCTGATTAGCACATCTTGTGCTCCTGCAGTGCTAACAGCTGACACATCTGAGGTGTCTGGATTTGAAGCTCCTGATGTTCTGATTGATGGGATTGATGATCCGAGCCGACACCTGTAATTGACAGAGGCATGTGCTCCATCTAAAAGATAATCAGCAACAAGAATGACAATTCTCTTTGAGGGTTTTCCTTTAGTCGTTCTGAACTCACTTCAAGCTCATGATATTAATCCAATCAGTGACTGATTCACACAAAAGCATAAACAGCTTGCCGTAATTACAAGTTCTTGTGTGAAAGTTTTTTTGGGATGACGCATTGATAAAATGTCCTTAAAAATGACAGCCACTCTGACATACCTTAGTATTAGGCTTCGGTTGATTTTCATGATTTGATCTTGTTCTGTTGAGAGGTGCTTCAGTGAGCAGGTCTGGTTCACTGCTCCTCTGATCTCAGCACACTTTGATAACATGTCTGCTCATTGTTCTCTTTAAGCTTCTATGGCTGCTGAACGTATAGAGACCAACCGGCTCACACCTCCAGACTCTGCATGCTAAACCACTGATAGTATTTAAATGTGAAAACAGACCCTATATGAAACCACACCACCATGCTGCATGCTTTCTGATGTGCAGGATATTTATATCATCTGATTGGTTTCAGGGATTTGCTTCTATTCAGTCTTTCCGATTTCCAAAATAAAGAACTAACAGGAAGGATTGAGAGAAGAATGAGCTGGCTTGTTGTCTGCATTCTGGATTCAGGACAGAGATCTGTACAAGCCAATTACAGCCGCAGTCAAAATATAACACTCTGCCTCACCTTTGTTGCTATGGGAAATGTTTAATGATGAAACAGAGTACACTCTTGAGTCAGACTGGCTGATGTATTTCAGTTCTCACCCATTCCCAACCCGTCCACCAGGAGGCAATGTGGCCACACGTATGACTTCTACATCAAACATTTGACTCCTTCATAATTGTTTTTTTTTTGTTTTAGAGAAAGGTGGTTTCCTGTGAGTGTGTGTCTGTTGCACAGAGTTGGGGAAGACAATGATTGTAAATAGCAACTGAGCATCTTTTTTCCCCTCTTTAAACTCCAACCCCATCCTGAAAAAAAAAGGAAACATTTGCATTGCATAACCCCCACACATCATTGCCCCAGGCAACTGACAACCTCCTGCTCTCCAGCCCACCTCTTATGCACAAGTGCCAGGTGCTGGAGGTCTAGACTCAGTGACATGACACCACTCCGGATGAGGCTGCAGCATGAAAGGTTTTCCAAAGTCCCTCGCATCTGCAGGAGGTGTTGATACCCTCTGTGTTTTTTATGGCAGACATGTCACTGAACGCTTAGCTCACTGTAACTCTGCAGCAGCTGCTGCTTAGGATTCTAAGCTAAGCTCAACATGGACGTTATTATCTATGGAGCTGCTAACAGAGTCCTGCATTCAATATTCACAATATTCATGCTGCCATGTTATTCTGAGTATAAATAAATATTTGTCAGATAGAATATGGTTGGTTTGTATACCCAGCAAATCATGAGCATCCACCTTGTCTTGCTATGGAAAAATGAGTAAACAGAAAAAAGTTTTATTGCTACTCAGTGGCTCTATTTTGTTGTTCAGGAAATACCTGCACATATCTTTGGCCATTCATCTTTACAAAACGTCTGTTTCTATTTAGATTTAGGTCTGGACTTTGACTGGGCCATTCTCAGGCTTGTCACAATAAGCATTTCATCAATTGCTTATCAGAACTTAAGTTTTGATCACTTTGAATTGAATGAAAAGATGTTCAATAATTAAAGAATAAAAGTAATTTAACTGGACGGGTAATTTTCTACCACTTTGGTCTATCAGAGTAATAAAATCTGAAATTCTGGAAGGCAACAAGATGTTTCAGCTTAAATCATTTTCTCATTTGAGTTTAATCCCCTGGTAATAAGGGTCGAAGCATTTACACCAATGAAAAGCAATTTACAGTGTATGTTGTGTTTCTATAAGCTTCTTTCTCTTTAGGCTCCACCAAGATAATGTTACAGCAACCCAGAAAGGACAAAGTAGTGGATATTATAACTTAGCATGCATCACTGGATTCCGCATATTCGTTTGAAAACTATCTAGCCATACTTTGAAAATGTATCATTATAAATAGCTTTGAACCATCCTGAATCCAGAAAAACCAGATGTCGCTCATGTCCTTTGCTTTTTATCGGCTGTGATAAACCTGGTCGACTCCAAACAAAATGTAGATTTATTTCATTTCTTTGTGTTGTGAGTCTAAATCAGGGGTGTCAGAGTTCAGTACTTGATGGCCAGTGTTGAGAAGTTTCTTTGCTCCAACACATCTGAATATTTGATAATCAGAAAAACATCAGAAAAAATGCAATTCAGCCTTTGGATTCAGGTGTGTCGGAAAAAACACACCTCTAGAAGTTGCAGGCACTCAGTGAGTTTAACACTTTTGTTTTGAATAAATTCATACAGCGGTACATATTTTAATGGAAAGCATAACTGGTTCTTGAACATATGGTCCAAAGAAAGCAGCATACTCACTGGCATAGTCTAAACAACAATAATTCCAGGTAACATTACATTATTCAAGACAAAATTTGATTTAAAGAATTGTATTTCAGAGAAAAACATGTTTTGAACAAAAACAAATCTCCCAGATATTTCAGCCTTTTCTACGAATAGCAGACTGTCCTTCCACAGAAAAATGGACTCTGTGGGTCTGAACTTCCACAATGACGTTGTTCAATAAAGTGAAAAGAAGGTTTATTTAGCAGTTCACTGAATTGAAGTGAGAGTTTCTCCTTAATGGTTGCCCTTGAATAAAGTGATGGAATCTGCATGCTGATATTAATGTCTGCTCACTGTAAGGTTTCATTTTATTTTATCTTTTTAATGTCAAGGAAGTAATTATGCAATGTTTTTAACTTATTTATTTTTTCAGGCTTCATTCTGTTCTGGTTTCTGAACGGCAGTAAAACTTACAAGGTCACGGCAGATCACCACTCGATCACAGGACCAAGACAGAGACACACAACCTCTCTCATGTACATCCTCTCAATACAAGGGTCAAAGGTCACAGTATCCTGTTCACTTAAGGAAAGTCATG